TTATGTTTTGGGCGAAAATAGAGAAATTAGTACAGGATGGAAGTCATCAGGGTTTGGGAAACTTAGGAGAAGGAGCAGGAAAGGAGAAAGTCGGTTAGAGTCTGGTCATGGCCCTTATGGCCCGTCGTGGGCTCAGCGGCGTAACTCAAATCCACGTAACAGAGTCAACCTGAGCAGAGCTGTTTCATTTGCACCTGATAGCCCCATTTCTCTGGAGCCACCTTTGCTTGAAGCATCTGGTGGACTAAGGGAGTCACCAACCCCTGCATTGCCTATCAAGTCAGCTCTCAAGTCAAGCTCAAGAAATCGCTCTGCTGCTGGTCAGTCCACGGTTCAGTTCCAGATGACCTCAAATCAGGGAGGAGAGGGTGGAGCTCAATCTCTGCTGGATTCTCCAGACACAAGGAGGGAGTCTCCAGCATCTTTAACCCCAGGGGTGCCTGCTAGTAGCAGCCCAGTGTCCTGCATCAGACCCTCTACTCTGAGGTACTCCCCAGCCAGACTAGCCACAGACCTGCCAGGCTCTGAACTCTGGGATGCCACTCCAGATGGTGCAGGTGAGTGGCAACAGTAATGTACATAAAGCAGCATTATACGATTACACATACTATTCGTTTATCATTAATGTTTTAAATGTAGTCATGGTCCTATTGTTGCAACTAAGCAAGAAACTAACTCTGAGTAATTTCTATTCTTAGGGATATTTAACATTATAATGAAGCCTTAATAAAGTAATGAGAAGGAAATGAAAAAGGCATGAGCTACAAAGGAAATGTTACTCTGACTACCTAATAAATGTTGATGAAAAAGTACAATATGTCTGTCTGAACTGCAGACAAGTGGAAGTATAAAGAAGCCTTTTTGGTTGTGTTTCTGAAGTGAACTGTAGCTACCTATAAACTTTACTTGTGTGCACTAATAGATAAATGTTGTAGTGTGGAAAAGAGCAGTTAGAAGTTTACTTTCAGCAAAGATCAGGATAATACTGACATTTAATAATGTACTCTTTTCCTTTTGTAGGCTTAAGTGGGGATTCTGGTTCTGGTTCAGAGTGCCGTGCAATACGTGGCCTGGGTATGTCTCGGGCTGAGGACCTCAGAGCAGAGCTATTGAGGGCTGAACATCTGAAAGCTGAGGCCCTGTGGGAGGAAAACTGTGATGGGTCTAGGTAAGCCAAGATAACAATGTTCTTGCCATAGCTTAGACAATAAATCCCTTGCCCCCACCAACACTGTTGTGCAGCAGTTAGTAGATTAAAACCCTGTTCAGCAGACAGGCTGTTGTTCTTGTTGTTAGAAAGCTTCTTTCAATACCAGAGCAATCCTGCCCTCTTTTGGTAATACAGTATATAGCTGTAGTCATTACGATCCTTTACAGAAGGACGACACTTATAAAATTGTTTTCACAGCTCTTAAAAATAATCTCAGTCCATAATAACAATTCTCAGTGTGTGTGTAGTTCACACTGTGATGCAACAGTGTCTAGATCAATATATTTAAAGTCTGTGCTAAGGTCTAATTTAAAAGAAAAATCACAATTTTCTTTTTACAGAAAGCTGGATGGGCGGCCAAAGCTCTTCCTACGTCGCTTCTTTTCCTCCATTGGCCTGAACAGTGTCGGTAGGCTTGTGAAAGGAGGTCGCTCCAGTAGTATGGAACAGCTCAGTATACCCACTGCCCCCCGGGCGAGCTCAGCATCACCAAGCCCAACACGGAGACCGCAGCCCACTATCCGCATACAGAGGACACCCTCCCTGCAGACGCTGAATACGGTGAGCAAGAGGTCTAAATGTTTTGTTGTGTTGTTGACTGCTGCGCTCCTTTATCTCATGTTTTTAACATCATGATTGGCCACAATAAATGTATACAAATTTAACCTCATACAGGCAGAAGGTAAAAAGTAATGTCATTTTCCTCACATACCTGTACAAAGTTCATTTCAACAGTGGACCAGCCAAAGTTTCTACTTTGTACAGGTCTGCTGCCTTCTCTGCAGTTTCAGGAGTACACTAGTGGAATTAATCCTTTTTTGTATGTGTGTGTGTGTGTGCTGCCAAGCAGACCATATTTTTATAGGTGTAATAAAGGCAAAATATTATGGTTCTGGAAGCTGGTTTGGTGAAAAGAAATAAAATCAGTTTATTACAGTGCCATTCATTTGCCACTAGGTGCTGCCACTGGCCCAGCTGCGTAAAGCCTCCTCTGTGCAGAGTTTAGAGAGAAGAACAGAGCGTTCAACCATACTTGGGGAGGTGCAAATACCATACGGCCTGGCACTCAGGTAGGTGACTGTGGCAAACAAAACCAAGCAGAAGAACTGAGTGATGAAGATGACTTATATAAATTCTCACACTCTTATTGAAATAATGAATTTCTGCTTCCTCAGCCCTGACAGCCCTCAGCTTGAGCTTCACAGGGCCTTGAGCGTTGAAGATGTACTTCCCTCTAGAATCGCACGTCCAGTGGGCCGGGCCACTCAGGCTTTCCCTGATGGGAGTATCCTCCTGGAGCTCATCAAACCCCCAAACGGTCCTTATGGTTTTGTTATTTCAAGGGGCAAAGGTCGACCAGACACAGGTATGTTTTTACATTTTCAATTTCATTTTTGTAATAATAAAAAGAGTAGAAATTCTATGAACCCAAAGACACATTTACTTCTAACTCATTTCTTTCTATTCATCTTTCTTCTCTTCTCTTTTTTCTCCTTTGTGCAGGTGTATATGTTGAAAAAGTGGGTGATGGCAGCGGAGAAGGCCCGTACGTAGGCCTCCTTGGCATCGGTGACGAAATTCTGCAGGTGAATGGGGAAGCAGTGGCCGGACTCACTTTAGACCAGGTGACGCGCCTCATGACCAGGGAAAGCACTGCTTCCCTTCGAATCATGCCCGCCCGACGCAATCAGCGCTGATTGACAGGACAGGCATGGCATACAGCCACTTCTCCTGGAGACACGCAGAGTAACTGACTGCTACAAACACTGCGGACTGACTGCAACAAATGGTAGACGTGCTGTAGTCAGTGCAGCACACTTGCAAATGCGTAGATGGAAAAACAGGGTGAGGGCTTCTTTTCTCATAGTGCAAATCAATGTTTAATTATGTGACATCACAAAGGATTGCAATAGAAACTAAAGCACATTACATACAAATCCAACCGTACACAGAGTAGGCAAGTTAGAAAAGTTTAATGTATTTGAAAGTTAAGAAAAATTCAAACCTAATGCAATTTCAATTTGTAAAATGATTTATTTTCTTCTTCTTTTTTAGTTGTCGTGAATTTTTCTTGTGATTCATTTTGCTCTTTATGTCACACAGAGCACGAGATCTCAAATGGTTAGTGATTGGAATTGTATTTTGTCACTTATTTGAAATTGTATACAGATATATATTTTTAAGTACTGTTGCTTATTTATTTATTTATTTATTTATTGGTCAAATAATTGATTATCTGTAGGGGTGTGGCACATGCTTGATCAATAGACCCTTGAGCTGGTGTGTAAAGAAAGAAAAAAAAATTATCTCATTTTGGGTTTGTTTGTTTTTTTTCTTCAGGACATCATATTTCCCTGGGGCTCTGTATGGTCTCTTCATTTTGCTTGTGTTGTATCAAGTACTCTTTTATGAACCGGGTGCCGTTTTGCTTCTAAATAAAATAATATAGAGATTTATTTTGTCGAAATGTTTATCCTTTAATTTAACAAATTAATTAATCATTCACATTCATTCCACAACTAAATCGCACACTTAGAAATGCTTACTCTGTTATGGCGTATTATATGTTTTATTTAAAGTTTCCAGTCACGTGCATTAATTTAGTTTCTCGATTAATGACTGTTTGGCGCATTTTTACGCAGAAGAGTGACGTTTCAGCGGAAGATTATGAAAATAAGCACATGAAAGGGAATTGTTTCAGGCACAGCACAGGATGTAGGATCACGGTCGTGACTTCTGCTTCAACAGACCTGCTATAGGGTCGTGACTCAGTGTGGAGTTCGATCTTTAAATCATTAATTCACCATGGAAACGCTATCTATCTATCTATCTATCTATCTATCTATCTATCTATCTATCTATCTATCTATCTATCTATCTATCTATCTATCTATCTATCTATCTAT